TACTCTGAAGGACACTCTGTTGGCTGCGGGTCGTCTCGAGAGATGCAGCTCACCTAAGTCTCCGTATCAACCATGCCTCTGCGCCCATTAGGCCCTAGACATACAGGTGCCTGTGCAACAAAAACGCACAGCAAGTGTAGTATTAGTACGAAAACAACGCGTACCCAGTAAGTATCCAGTCTAAATTCGAAGAAATAGTAACGAGAGGTCGACTCCGACACTCACTATGGCCATCAATAATATAATCAGTCGTGGATTTATTAAAAACGAAAGTAAACTCAAGGAAATCATGAAGCAAGCAGACAATTCTTTTGATAATAAGAGATTTCCAAATTCATATTTCATCATTTATCAATTTATCGCAGACCAAGGAAGCAATATCATTATTTATAAATTACAGGGCAAGCAATCCAAGCATGCACAAATCATGCCGAGGTCGTACGGCCCGTCCAACATAATATTTAAATTGTGAACTGCCAGTGGGTCGAATGGCGCGAACCATAGATGCTTCTATTTAATCTACTGAGGCGACCCGTTCCACAAAAGATAAACACATTCAAACAGTTAATCAAGAATTCATCAAAGGATAATTATCAAAGGAAATGGCAATTCCTCTTTTATCGGTCAAGAAAATGTTTTTTAGCCTTTTAGAAGTTTATTTACCAAGTTCGATAATATTTAAGCATTTTAAATTGACAATCAGGTTACAAATATTACAATTAAAACATGCTTTTGGGTCCTAGACTACCCGGACTTAAGCATAATAGTAGCTACGCATGGACTCTCGTCACCTCATGCGTACGTAGCCCCCACAAATAGGAGCACACATTAAATTATTTCACCTAGGAGGTTAATTCCCTCTTACAAGGTTAGAAGGGAGACTTACCTCGCTCCGAAGTTCCATAACCGGCTTCCGAGCCCTTCAAACAACTCGAATCGATGCCCAACTCTCCAAAACTAGCCAATAATTATGTAAACCCATTAACATACGCTCGAATACTCATTATAATCCAATTTATAAATAATTTCTAACCCCGATCGAAAAGTCGATAAAAATCACCCTCGGGCCCACGTGCCCGGATTCCGAAATTTTTCGAAGATAAACTTTACCCATAGCCCCACGAACTCAAATATATAATTTATTCTAAACTCCATGTCCAATTTCGTAGTCAAAAACCAAAAATATCAATTTTTAGGTCTTATACCAAAACCCGCAATTTCTACTAATTTCCATGTTCCGATCCATGTATAATTCATGTATTTAACTCACAAATGGAAAGAAATCACTTACCTAGTGATGGTAACGAAGAAGCTCCTCCAAAATCGCCCTAAGCTCGGCTCCCATGAAAGATTTTGAGATAAAATGAGCCAAAACCCGTTTTTAAAACAACTCACTACCCAGTCCGACCCTTCTTCGCGAACGCGGCACAACCCTTGCGTTAGCGAAGCTCTACGACCTCGCGCCTAGAATTCTCACTTCGCCTTCACTACTCTTTGATCACGTCGTGAAGGCCAGCTGACCCGCTCCTTCGCATTCGCATTCGCGTTCGCGTAGGCCAAATGGCCTTAGGCACAGCTCCCTCATTTCTTCTTCGCGTTCACGGTTGGGCCTCCGCGTTTGCGAGACACTTCCAGGCCCACCTACGCGTTCGCAAGCCCCTCAGCGCGTTCGCGTAGGGAAAAAATCACCAGCCCAAAAACTCTTCTACGCGAACGCGATCTTCCCTCGCGTTCGCGTAAGACAAAACCAGCACCAGCAAACCAGCACCAGCTTTTCATCCAAAATCGATCAGATACCACCCCGAAACACAACACAAGCCCCTAGGACCCCGTCCAATCACACAACCCAGTCCCATAACATCACACGGTCGTGCTCGAGGCCTCAAATCACATCAAATAACGCTAAAACCATGAATCGCACTCCAATTCAAGCTTAATGAACTTTAGAATTTCAAACTTCTATATTCGATGCTGAAACCTATCAATCACGTCCAATTGACCTCAAATTTTGTACACAAGTCATATTCAATATTACGGACCTACTCCAACTTCCGAAATCAGAATCCAACCCCGATATTAAATAGTCCACCTCCGGTCAAACTTCTCAAAACCTTTAAATTTCTAACTTTAGCCAAATGACTCCAAAATGACCTACAGACCTCCAAATCCACTTCCCGATGCGCTCCCAATACCAGAATCACCATAAGGAGCTATTCCCAGACTCCGAATCCCAAACGGGCATCTATAACACTGAAATGCACTGCAACCCAAATTTATGAAATTCTTCCCAAAATGCTAACTTCCACAATAGGCGCCGAAATGCTCCCGGGTCATCCAAAACCCAATCCGGACATACGTCCAAGTCCAAAATCATCGTACGAACCTATTGGAACCTTCAAATCCTGATTCTGAGGTCGTTTACTCAAAATCAATCCTTAGTCAGATTATTCCCACTTTATGCTTCCGAAATGAGAATTCTCTTTCTAAATCAACTCTGAACTCCTCGAATTTCAATTCCGACTACGCGTACAAGTCATACTACCTGAAGTGAAGCTGCTCATAGCCTCATACTGTTGAACGATGCGCTAGAGCTCAAAATGACCGGTTGGGTCATTACAACCGAACGGCATTCAGAACGCCAATTGGAACATCTCCATATAGATTAGTCTTTGGAAAAGCTTGTCATTTGCCCGTAGAATTAGAACACAAAGCTTTTTGGGCATTGAAAGCACTGAACTTTGATTTAACCTTTGCTGGTAAAAACCGATTTATTCAGGTTAATGAATTGGAAGAACTGAGATTGGGAGCCTACCAAAATGCTAAAATTTTCAAAGAAAAAATAAAAATATGGCATGACAAGTTGACCCGACCAATGAGTTTCAAAATTGGAGATCAGGTAATTCTTTACAATAGCCGACTCAGGTTATTCCGGAAAAATTAAAATCCAGGAGTTTCAAAATTGGAGATCAGGTAATTCTTTACAATAGCCGATTCAGGTTATTCCGGGAAAATTAAAATCCAGGTGGACAGGTCCTTACAATGTTATAGGTGTAACTCCATACGGGACAATTGAAATTCAGAAAAATGGAGGAAACAAGTTTAAGGTAAATGGTCACATGCTAAAATTGTACTTTGGAAGACACTTTGAACAACATCCATTGGTTAATTTGATAGACTGATGAATTCTGCAATTAATAAGTCGAGCTGACGATGTTAAACTCAAAACTAAGATACAAAACCCGTAGCCATTGAGGGAGAAGCAATGGAGCCTCATAATCCCGACATAGATTTGGGTAATTAAATGCTTAGTCAATTGATCTGGTCAATATCCAGGTTGTTGTACAACCAGAACATCTCATGAAGGCCTCTACAAAAATAGAGTCACCTGTATAGGAGTAACTCCATGGTGATCGGTATGTCTAAGTAACTGGTTGATTAATCATTTAATGAATCAATTCAAAATGTTGGCACAGGTAAATTTGTTGGTTTATATATAACCAGGACCAAATGACTGATAAGGTCTTAAATTAGTCAGTCTATTACATATAAAAACATGTGTAGTCACACACTCTTTCAAGTTTTTTCTTCTCTCTCTCTCTCTCTCTCTCTCTCTCTCTCTCTCTCTCTCTCTCTCTATATATATACAACTTTTATTTTGTTCTTAATTGTTGTTCTTGTACAATATTAAAGTTTTAAAGTAAATGTTTGCATATTTTTAAAACATAATATTTTTCATTTATGCCATATAACTTCCAAGTTTGTGATTTTATTTTTGTGAAGGAAAGAACGAGTATCTCCAAATTTGAGAAAGTGTTGGAATTGAGAAGCATTATGATCTCAAGTCTCAACAGGTAGAATCAATAAAATTCTGCTAGCACTTGCCCCAAATGTCTATCAAGGCGAAATTCTAGACAACACTATTTTTAGAATGAAATTAGGCTTTCTTTGACACACTTTTTAGCCTATCTATTTTTAACCACAAATATTTATATTTTCCCTTTTAGCACCCAACTTTGAGCCAAAAAAAAAGAACAAAAAAAGAGAAAAAAAAAAGGGGGGATAAACCAAATTTTATTGATACACCATATTGGTTTATCCTACAAAAAGATCGATACTACTCCTTCCGGCTATAGTTGAGGAAAAAACCAGGTTCTAACGTTCCTACTCTATTACTTTATATTGCATATTTGTTCTTTGATATTGGTGTAATTGCACCCCTTTTTCTTTAAAGAATCTAAACAATCTGTTTCATCCTTTCAATACGTATAATTCCACCCTTTTTCCTTAAGAATCTAAACAATCTGTTTCTGGGTGTTAATCTTTTTAGTTATTATTTTTAAAGTTTTGTTCTTCTTAGTATTAGCCACTTTTAAATCTGTTTCTTGTTACAATTGAAGTGATATCTTGTTTGATTTGGCTGTATAGTGTAATTCTTCTGTTCACTTTAGCTTAAGAATGGGTATTTTGGATTTTTTTTTTAAAATGCAAAGTTTGGTTCTTTTTAGCATTCACCACTTTTAAATCTGCTTCTTGTTACAGTTCAAGTGATAACTTGTTCGATATGGTTGTATATTGGGATCTTTCTTTTCAATTTAGAAACTGCGTACTGGAATTTAAATTGTAGGTTTGGCTGGTATTAGTCACTTTTGGGTCTGCTTCTTGTTACAGTTTAATTGACATCTTGTTTGATTTGGTTGTACATTGGAATTTTTCTGTTCAACTTTGTAAAAATTGGTAGGGTTTCGTCTATCCATTTTAATTCTGTTTGTCACTCCCTTGAGTTGTTTTTAGCTCTCGGGTTCGTAGCTTGTAGTCCTTCGTTCCCGTTTTTTGTTCTCAGTGGCAGTGTTTGCCTAATACATTTTGCTTATAGTGGCGGTAGTGAATGATGTGAGAGTAAGGTCATGTCCTCGGCGGGGCTGGGGATGGGGTCCAGGGGTGAGAAGGGAGGTAAGAAAGCCTCTAGGTTGCGAATTGGGTCTTAGAACATTCGGACGTTGATGGTGAAGTCTATAGAGTTAGGTAAGATTCTTCAGAAGAGGAAGATCAACATAGCGTGTGTTCAGGAGACTAGATGGAAGGTTACTAAGGAACGAGATGTAGACGGGTTTAAACTATGGTACTCAAGGAGCGCTGGAGGTAAGAATGTTGTAGGTACTTTAGTAGACAGGGATCTCAGGGAGCTCGTGGTTGAGTTTAGGAGGGTAAATGATAGGTTGATGAGTATTAAGTTGGTAGTTGGTGGGTTTACTGTAAACGCGATTAGTGCATACGCTCCTCGGGTAGGTTTGAACCAGGAGGTCAAGAAGCAATTTTGGGATGATTTGGTCGAGATGGTGCGTAGTATCCCGCACACAGAGAAGTTGTTCATTGGCGGAGATTTCAATGGTCATATTGGGGCTGGTGCTGGGGGCTATGATGATGTGCATGGCGGGTACGGTTTTGGGGACAGGAATGAGGGAGGTAATTCGCTGTTGGAGTTTGCTAGAGCTTTTGATTTGGTTATAGCTAACTCGAGTTTCCCGAAGAGGGAAGAGCACCTGGTCACTTTTCGAAGTTTAATGGGCAAGACTCAGATTGATTATCTTCTCTGCAGGAAATGCGATAAAGGTTTGTACACTGACTGCAAGGTCATCCCGAATGAGCACCTCACGACCCTACATAGGCTCCTAGTTATGGACCTGGAGATCAAGAGGAGTATGAGGAAGAGGGTGGGGTGCAGGTAACCTAAGATCAAGTGGGGTAACTTGACCAAGGACAAAGCTCAAGAGTTAGGGGAGAAGTTGTTGGCTATGAAGGCCTGGACGAGTATGGGGCACGCGTTTAGTATGTGGTCCATGACTGCGGATTGCATTAGGGTAGCTATGGGAGAGGTCTTAGGGGTAACGAAGGGTTCTCCTAGGGGTCATATAGGGGACTGGTGGTGGAATGGAGAGGTTCAAGGTAAAGTGGAAGCTAAGAAAGCTGCTTATTTGAAGCTAGTAGAGAATACAAACGAGGAGGAAAAAAGGACTTATCGGAGTGTTACATAAAGGAGAAGAAAGAAGCAAAGTTAGCAGTTACGACGCCTAAGAACGCAGCGTTTGCTCGTTTGTACGAGGAGCTCGAGGGCAAAGGAGGGGACAAGAGGTTGTACCGGTTGGCCAAGGTGAGGGAGAGGAAAGCCCGTGACTTAGACCAAGTCAATTGCATCAAGGACGAGGATGGCAAAGTGTTGATGGACGAGGCACTCATTAGGAGAAGGTGTCAGACATACTTCCATAAACTATTGAATGAGGAGGGGGATAGACACATTGTGATGGGTGAGTTGGAGCACTCCGAGAGTCGACGGGATTTTGGGTACTGTAGGCGGCTTATGGTAGAGGAGGTGGAAGGGGCAATGTGTAAGATGTGCAGGGGCAGAGCAACGGGGCCATATGAAATCTTGGTGGAATTCTAGAAGAGCGCAGGGTTGGTAGGTTTGGAGTGGCTCACTGGGTTGTTTAATGTTGTTTTTAAGACAAAGAAGATGCCTGAATAATGGAGGTGGAGTACGATGGTTCCGCTTTACAAGAACAAGGGTGATATCCAAAATTGCAACAATTATAGGGGTATCAAGTTATTGAGTCACACTATGAAGGTTTGGGAGAGGGTGGTGGAGGCTAGGGTGAGGAGGTGTGTGTCTATTTCCGAGTATTAGTTTGGATTCATGCCGGGGCGTTGGCTACAGAAGCAGTTCATCTAGTAAGGAGATTAGTGGAGCAGTACAGGGAGAGGAAAAAGGATTTGCATATGGTGTTTATTGACCTTGAGAAGGCATACAATAAAGTTCCAAAGGAGGTCCTGTTGAGGTGTTTGGAGGTTAGCGGCGTCCCGATAACGTACATTAGGGTGATTAAGGATATGTACGATGATGCTAAGACTCGGGTGAGGACTGTGGGTGGTGACTCGGAGCATTTCCCTGTGGTGATGGGGTTACACCAGGGATCGGCTCTTAGCCCAATTTTGTTTGCCTTGGCGATAGATGTACTGTCGCGTCACATCCAAGGGGAGGTGCCTTGGTGCATGATATTTTCCGATGATATAGTGTTTATTGACAAGACGCTAGCGGAGTTAATGCGAGGTTGGAGGTTTGGAGACAGACCTTGGAGTCTAAAGGTTTCAAACTAAGTAGAACCAAGATAGAATACTTGGAGTGCAAATTCAGTGAGACCCATGATGCAGACGTAGAAGTTATGCTTGATGGTCAAGTTATCCCCAAGAGAGCGAGTTTTAAGCATCTCGGGTCTATCATCAAGGCTAACTGGGAGATTGACGAAGATGTCACACATCGTGTCGGAGCGGGATGGATGAAGTGGAGGCTCACTTCCGGTCCTATATGATAGGAATGTGCCGTAAAGACTTAAGGGTAAGTTTTATCGAGTGGTGGTTCGACCCGCTATGCTATATGGGGTTGAGTGTTGGCCAGTCAAGAACTCCCACGTGCAAAAGATGAGAGTAGCAGAGATGAGGATGTTGAGATGGATGTGTGGGTGTACCAGGCGAGATATGATTAAGAATGAAGCTATCCGGGACAGAGTGGGAGTGCCTCCGTGGAGGACAAAATGCGGGAGTCACGACTGAGATGGTTCGGACATGTTAGGAGAAGAAGCATTGATGCCCCTGTTAGGAGGTGTGAGAGGTTGGACATGGAGAGTTTGAGAAGGGGTCGAGGTAGGCCTAAGAAGTATTGGGGAGTAGTGATTAGGCAGGACATGGCGCTGCTTCAGCTCACTGAGGACATGACCCTTGATAGGAGGGTGTGGAGGTCGAGGATTAAGGTAGAAGGTTAATAGGTAGCTTATAGTGTTTGCCTATAGGCTTAGTAGCGTGCATGTCCCTTCATATTCTTAGATTTTTATTACGATATGTAATTTTGTTCGCCTCGGGTATTGTATTCCCTGTTGCTATTATTTGATACTACTTATCCTTTATCTCTCCCTTTTTTCTCTTCTATCTTTCTTCCTTCCTTGCTTCCCTCTTCTTCTTCTTGCCCTTCCTGAGCCGAGGGTCTATTGGAAACAGCCTCTCTACCTGCATTAGATAGTAAGGTCTGCGTACAGACTACCCTCCCCAGACCCCACATGTTGGGATCAAACTGGGTTTGTTGTTGTTGTTGTTGTTGTTGTTGTTGTTTATTTGGAGAAATGATGACTTAAGTGATATTAATTATGGAATTGGAGACCGGGACCTTTAGCCCAATCTCTAGAGTTATTTTCTTTATGTTGAGTTGTACATAGTTACTTTGGTAAAATAATCGGCTCTCATAATAAAGCTGGATGGAACAAAGTCACTACAAATATATCCCTTTACCTTACCATCATTAAGCCTATCATTACAAGCCTGAAAAAGTCCTAAAATATTAGAAATTAGTGTTTATTCTATATTAGTGGAGACTGACATGAAGGGCTTATGGACAAAAACTTGAGAAACTCGAAATTGTGATCATAATGTTATCAATCTCAAAAGGTTCATAAAAAGAGGAGTTGAAAGTTTTTGGCAAACAAAAGCAGAAACAGAAACAAGGTATAGATTTGGCGACTTGAAAAACTTATAGGTTTTGAATATGTAAAATTTTATTTTCTTACTTTTCTACTCTACAAGAAACAACAATTATTAATAAAATTATTGTCTCGAGGACGAGCAAGGATTCAACTCCCCCCTGAATTGACACTCCTCAAGCCGGGCTCGTAACAAAACCACCCGAGCTTGGATATCACTGCACTAGGCTTCGACTCCCTTGCTGAGCTCGAGTTCTTCCTCCTTTATCCCAAACGTCCCCACCAGGACGCTGCACTTCCCCACCATCCGCACCTACTCCTCATCTCTGGCCTTCAAGTCCTCCCTCAATTGGCGTATGTCGCCGCCCTCACGAAGCTAACACCAAAGCTCTCGGTACTTCTCAAGGACTCTGAAGTACTTGTCCTTCAACTTCATATAGATATCTTTACACCTCTGCTCCCTACGAGCACTCTCAATTTATAAGACGACCGTCTATAAAACAAACAAAGGAAGTTAGAGACAGTGAAAGAACAAAACCAAAGGAAAACAGCTAACAACGAATGTACTTACCCGAAGGGCAAGGCCAGCAATGTTATTCGACAAGCCGGTGTCATTCATAGTCTTGAGGGTCGTACCCTCAACATCAGAACTCATGGGGACAAGCTAGGGGATAATCTTCTTGGTTTCCACAAGACGATTGCGATCCATCAAGATCGTAATAGTCCTTGAACCTCCTCCAACCTCACTTGAAGTTGAGTAAGCCCCTCGTCGATCATCCTCAGCTCGTCTACATCCATGTCGGAATCGGATCCAACATCCCCCTCAGCAACAACCTTCCCTCTATCATTAGTTGAAGAACGAGCATCTGCCGTAACCCTAGAAGATGAGGCCTCTTCGCACCTTGGAAGAACAGGCTGTTACTTCCCACCACGCCTTCAACCGCATCCCTCAACGGTCGTATATCCATATCCTCCAAACATATGGCCTCGGGACTTTCTTCTGGGCTCTCCCCAATATGCACTGTGGCCGTCTCCCGGAGGACAAAACCATAGTCTCCTATATCGGTGGCCGCCGACCTCTCTCCCCCGGCATCCAGGCCCTCCTCTTACGAGGCATCAAATCTCCATCACTGAGCAAAGGTTCATCGTCCTCGTCTATAAGAGCATATAAGGGAGAAGCCGAGATCTCCACAGCTGACGTCTCCACGGATAAAGGAAGGACAGATCAGATGCAGCAACAGGAGGGACCAGGATAATGACAGGCTTAGGCGCAGTCGAAGCAGGGGTGGGAGCCGAGGACGTAGTAGCTTTCCTCTTTCGGAACGAGGGTGCGGGAGCTCTTGACCTCCTCGAAGATCCCCGGGCCGGAGCTAAGAAAACACAGGGAAAGGGAAAGGTCGACGAAGGTAAACAAAAAAAAAGCTAAGATACTGATGGTAAAAGGGGATTACTAGTCAAAGAAAGAGCGGGCCCAAACTTCTTGAAAAAAGTTGGCCATTCACGAATCCCGGCGATGTGAGGGAGGAGCTGGTCAACCTAGTCAGAAATGTGAGTGACCGAAGGAGAAGGCGAGGTCTTGGCTGCATAAGAAGAGGACGAGAAGGCAAAGCCCATGACCAAGCACAAGAGAAAAATTAGATACCTATAAGCAAGGAAATTAGGTACTTACGAGCATAACTCCAAGCCTCAGGAAAACCCTCGACATTGACCACCACGTTCTCGGTTCTAACAAAAAAGAAGTTGAATCAGAATTGGCAGTTGGCTTTGTCGTCCATCTTCACCTCCAAGCACTTTCCCCATAGGTGGTGAAGATTCAACATTGTTCCCCTATAAAAGCTAGGGGAGAACAAATGTATTAAGTGCTGAAGTGTCAACTCGACCCCGGCTATCTCGACAAATTTAGTAAGCATCTTTATAAGTTTATAAACGTACCGCACGATGTGAGCTGGGCAAACATCGTAATAACGATAGAATTCCTCCGCCAGCAGAAGGAGAGGGAGAGAGTAGTCGACTTGGAAGGGGTAGACGTAGAAGGCGCAATACACAAACGGTGGACCTGCACCGTATCCCATCCAGCCGAGATTATTTCAATGTGATTGGAAAGGCCAAAATTAGCCTTAAGTTCTTCCAATTCCTTTACCGTCATCACTGACTAAAAGGCTCCAGGTTCAGCATTAGGTGATTTACTGAAATCAGATCTAGTTGCGAGGAATAATCTCCTCCACCAACGGGAAGTTTCCATACTTAACGGTGGTAGGATCACTCTCCTTATGGGAAGGAAACACCACTGCTAAGGGGGCCACACGACTTCCCTCACTAGACTCAGAAGGCATGTTAGACATAGTTTGATAAAGGAAAGAGAGGTATCAAACGAAGATGAACTAAGAACGATACAAATCACTGGAACGAACAGAGAAGAGAAGTTCGAAGCAAGAAGAGCAAGAGAAAAATATGGGATTTTGAAACAACAGAAAACTTAAACCTCAAAATCGCGTCCAAATACCTATATTTATAAGGGTCTTGGCACCAGACCGAAAACGGTTCATCATTATTGGCATAAAAACTGAAGCGGTAGGTTTTAATTAGAGATCACACACGAAACGAAGCAACGCATCGGAAATTTATGTCATAATGACGCATGACGTCATGACATCATTCTAACTCATAGACAGCATGATTCCAGCAAATCGCCCGGGAAAATCGAAGCTTTTGAAATGTGCGGCCCACGTAGGGCCACGCTGCTAGTTTGCCAAAACCACCACGAGCTTCATAGCCCGCTCGATTGTTTCGACCATAAAGAACAAGATCCGCTCATCGAACCCTCCTGAAGTCAGCCTCAATAAGCGGTGGAACTAACTGTATGGGTCAAAATCTATCTTTAGAATATTAAAGCGAAGATACTACCAAGGGAAGAGCTTCC